TTGACAACTCCTAATTTTGTATAAATAGGTATATACATGACAAAATTTCTATTCTTTTCAATAACTATATCAGTATTAAGATCTTTTGTAACATTACTACAAAATTTCTTTCTCCATTGTGTACTTCCACCAAACAACATATGTTTAAAAGGTAAGTATGACGACAATTCTCTTTAACTGGTTTGTATTTAATTATTACCAAAAGTCGAAAAAAAATTTTAAGCTCCAAAAGTATTTTTCTTAGAAACACCTTTGGGACAAAAATAGGAGCACTTTTAAATTAGAAATTGCTATTTCCAATTATCGTATCAAAGGCACAACAAAATATTTACCAGTGAAATCTAAAATTTACGTAGACATTAGATGTGCTGAATTAATAGAGGAGAAGAAACCATTAAAACCGTTGTTCAGAAGCTTTTAGGGCGACATGGTTCCCGCCAGATGCGGTAAATAATAAAAATGGGTACAGCACTACAGATAATAGGGCAATTGTAAGAATCACTTTCATGTCTTTCATCCTCAAACCATGGAAATGTAGTAATAAGGTAAAAGCAGACACTAGATGCATGCAGTTAAGATAATGGAAGAAAGAAGAATCAGAAATATATCTGAGATGGCTTACAATAATGCACCTAATTTAAAAATGCTGATGAAATTCAATTCGTTGGGAATGTGAAAGTAGAGAAAGAGGTCTATGTCACAATGGCAAAATCAGATCAGTAGTCGACAATGAAACTGTTTTTGCTTTCTACTGCTCTCCCCACCAACGTGAACCAATCTTTCTTGTAATTGAACCTTTCCTCCTTTTGATCATAGTTATCATTATGGTGTTCTACGTCGAATGATGAAAACTCGTAAGTTTAATAAAGATTTGCTGACCCCCTAGTACCTATAAGTATTTTATTACCCCTTATTTTCTTACATTAAACAAAATGTTATTATTATTATTATTTTTTCACTCATTTCTTATCCATTCCTGTTCCTTTAATTTTAAAATATGGATTGAAAAAAGTTGGTCCAATGCTAAATAGCCCACATTGTTCTACTCACAACTTGATAGTATTTTATCTATGCATGTTAAATTTAAAAAAAAAAAAGAAATCCATGTAATATTTTCAAAATCACTGAATAAAAAAAAAAAAAAAAAAAATTCTTGTTAATATCGAATAAGTTTTGAATAAAAACATAATTAATTTTAAAAAATAACAAAATTTGGATAAAGTTAAAAATAAATACAAATTAATAGCATCAACTCCCAATGCACCTGTCATTTTAATATACAATACCATTTAATTTTGACACTTGTCTTATTGATTTTAGGTGACTTTCATTTGAATACAAAATAAATATAAACACCAGAACAACCCTATTGAAAACTCAAACTACAACTTTGAAAGGAATTTTTACCCTAAAATACTCTCAGAAATTTTGTATCTTAAAATAATATCTTCAAATGGTTTCTTCAATTCAAGAGGTATGTATTGTTTTCACTTTACTATGTATTCAAATTTGCACTTTTCCATCTAACTAAATAAAATTGATGATTTAAATTTGTACTAATTTTCCTGTTATGATGATGTTGTGTATAATTTTGTTCAAGATTTATCAATATATGGTTTTGAGTAAATTACAAGAAAGCTTCCAAAGACAACAGAATAACAAATTGATAGTTTTAAGGTATATTACATTTTGTCGGTACATTACAATTAGTTTTTATACTATTTTGTATATTATCAATGGTGTAAATGTTTCGTCGATCCCTACTTTAATGATCAAAATGTTTTTTATATATATTAAGAACATTTTATAATATTTCCGTACGATAGAAATCCTTATTGTGACATTGTTATGTAAATCTTAGTATTTTTTCGTTTAAACTTTTTAAAATATATATTATCACTTTTATATGATTTTATTTGAATGATTTTTTGTGAAGGATAACAACATAGTCCAACAACACAGCAATGGCATGCCAAGGTGGCTTTCAAGGCTTATGGAGAAAACATTGTTATTGTTCGAAAAATGTGCAATACAAAAAGGAAACACAAATGAATTGAACCGATATTGCATAGAATGCGATGCTTTAGCCTGCCGACTCTGGACACGATGTCCTGCCAATTCGCAAGCATGTCTATAACGCTGTCCTTGGTGTGGATGAAACAAGGCAGATTGATTGTTCGAAAATTCAGGTATATAAGGTTTCTTTTGTGTATTGAGTTGTTTAATTTTAATTTTTTGAAATTTTTTTTATGGGGGTATTCAAATTAATGATGGGATGCAATATTTGTTGGAAAAAAACAGTGTTGAAAATGAAGGTAAAAAAACCTTACAAAAAAATACAATTTTAATTACATTGAAACTTAAAAAAAAAATAAGTTATTTTATGACAGATTTATATTAGATGTATATAAATTAGTATGAATATATACTAATTCATAAAATGTAAATCTAAAAATAAAAATAAAATTTTGTTTTATATTGGATGAACTTCAAGTTGTCTCGTGGATCAAGTGGGTCTATCTCACTCTATCGGGACACAATATAATAAATTTGCATTTGGACTCGATCCTAAGTTTTACTATTGATTTTATTCGGTCTCATTTCTTAAAAACTATTACTTTAGTATAACTTCTTTATACAAAATTATATAACCCAAGATAACGAACATAATTTGGTCCAAGGGACAAGCCAACTTAGCCTATTAATATCTTTGTCTAGTTTAGAACTGTTTTGATTTTATCTAAGGCTAGGCACAAGTAGGTCTGGATCAAATGAAGGGTCTAAGCTAATTCTAGCCGGTTTGGCCTGCCTGAGCAAAATTATTCTTTAAATTTAAATTATTTTAGAAATAAATTATGTAATATATGTAATTTCATTATTTCAGACATTATAATTTATTCACTATTATCAGTGCTAATTACTATATATATTGTAGGTTTATAAATGTAATAAAAAGCTTAGTTTTAGCACTCAATCCCCTTTCACACGCTGGATCCGGTGCATTTGTCGAAAAAAACAAAGCTTGTAGATAGTGTAGGAGAAAACTTTCCAAAAGCGATGAAGATATTTGGTTTTGCAGTACTGGTTGCAAGGTAATAATAGTTTTTATTACATTTGTTTTATATCTTCACATATGCATTGAAAATAATATTTATGGTCGAAAAAAATTATTTATTTATTTAGTTTTATTCTATTTTTACATTATGTTAAGTTTGATAATAAGATGTGTTTTAAGATTTAATAAATTTAAAATAGAAATATAGAAAACTTATGAAACAATTTTGTAAATCATTATAGATTTAATAAATTTAAATACAAACTTATTAATTCAATTGTGCATACAATGGATGTTTGTTACATCAATACATGTAAACTACACACTTGATAATACATTTGGTAATATCTATTTTATTGTACGATTACTAACATTTGTGCATTCTTACTTATATTTTTCGACCTACATCAATTTTAAGTAACTGTTCAAATAATTAATTATTGGATTAAAGCTCACTGTTAAAGGTTTTTTTTTTTTTCCTCATTTCCATAATCTTATGAGAACAGACAATGTCCGGATGTTTCGAGAATCAACTACAGGACTATCTTCCATGTTTAGAGTTTCAAAGCGAAAACATAGTCGAAAAGGAGTGCCTCACCGGTCCCTGGGTTACTACGGATATTGCCTTTGAATTTCTATAAAGAAAAATAAATATATCTTTTATATAATATAAACATGGTGTACCTGCGAAAATTACTATGGAAACATATTTGAATGCAATTATTTTAATAAATATTTATGTCAACTTTTAAATATATATATATATACAGTACTGTACATAATTAAAAAAAAAAAACACATAAAAAAAATTAATTATTAAATATTAATTTTGAAATTAAAGTTTTATATAAAAAGTGAATAATTCATCAAATATTATTTTTTATATTATCAATATAAATTTTCTTAGCTAATATAAAAAATACATCATTTCAAAAATACAAAATGAACAAACCCTAGACTTACAGAATAATTTGAAAAAAAGGGTTAAGCACACTACTAATTGTTAGGAACAATTAGAATTCATCGAGAATTGATAAAATAAATAAATAAGTAAATAAATAAATAAATAATAATAATAATAATAATAATAATTTTTTATTAATAAGATAAAAAAAAATGAGATTAATGATAAATTCCAAATTTCTCAAATCCCATTAATCAATCAATGAGTAGAAATGAATTGGGCAAATAATAACTCTATGATAGGTTTATCATTACGTGATTAATGATAAGTCAGATTAATGATTGACTGGACTTAAGTGATATATTAGTGACACAACCAAAAAATTGGCTTTTTGTAGCGGTCAAAAATTCGTAACGAAAACCCAATTTTTGTGCAAAATAGCCTTTTGTGTCAACTCTGTTGCGGATTTTGACCGCTACGAAAAATCGCGGTACAAAAAGCCTTTGTTGCAATAAATTCCGTAACAAATAAGTGGCGGTCAACCCTCAAAATAAGCACGTGTTTATTGTATTTGTTGTGTTTTTTTGTACGTAACAAAAGCATCGATCATGTTTTTGGAACAACATATGTCCGAAACAAAAAATTCGAAACAAAAGTTAAATCCTGTCAGAGAATTATTTGTTAGGACATATTTTCGAAACAAAAAATGCAGTACAAATATAGAATCTTGTTAGACAACTTTTTGTTGCAATCTTCATCCGTAACAAAAAATTACGTTACAAAGGTAGTGTCCTGTCAGAGAACCGCTTGTTACGAAATTTTTTTGCAACGAAAAATTCGGTACAAATGTAATGCAAACGTAAAACACTTTTTGTACCGGCCATTGTCCGTAACGAAAAATTCGCTACAAAAGGTGTCCATGTCTCAAATAAGGATTTTGTCGCCACGAATAAAATCCAATTGTTAAATTTGTTATTGATCAATTTGGATCACAAATAATTTAAAATATAATATTATTATAATTAATCTGAAATCCTTGTTCATATCTACACAATGACATCAATCCAACAACATTCATATTCGTGTCAAAAATAGAAAACTAGACGTTAATAGTACTTTAAAACATCTTCAAAACTCACCATGCCATACACCATAACAACCAACTAACAACTTGCTAACACTTGATCCCCAAATCCAAAAGTAATACGTGAATAAATAAATATGTATCAAACTGCAGTACAATCCTAAGGTCGACTAAAAAGTACAACTATGAACGACCAAGCTCATCGAGTGCAAAATCACAGATGAAGCAATCAGAGGCAGCCAACCAACTGCAATGTGTTTCCAATGATATATAAGAATTATATCAGCAACTAAAGTAATTTAATTCCCAAAAGAATAAACATTTTTAAAAAAAATTTGTACAACCTTGTAAGTCCACTTGATGTTTTCTCCGTCGAGTACCTCATCGAGCATTCCACTCTGGCATTACTTGGGAGAATAAGTACGGTCTCCGGACCGTAACAGTGATAACAAATGCCTTAACAATGGTTAGGGTATCACCTATATAAAAATGTAAAACCAAAGCTAATATTAGGAAATATGATATTTCTAAACCACATGAATGAATATAATAAAATATATAAATATATCAAGAAAATAGTAGTATGGAAACTTCATAATAAAATTAAAGTTATCATTCAATTTGATCTATGGACAGTATCTTAAATATGAATATAGCAATGTCTACAACCGAAAGCACTAGTCAAGAAGTCTGAACACCAAACATTAGGAAGATAAACTACACAACAATAAACTACGAAACAACTCTCCTAACACCGATAAACCAACATTTATAAACCACCACAATCATATGATGTTAATTTTCTCCCTCTCTTGAGTCTTTAGTTTTTTCTACTAAGCCAAACAACAGGTTTGATCAAAATTTAAACTAAAGTAGCCAGGAGCAAAAGTTATTATTCTAGTACTGTAAACTATCACCACTATTATGTTACGCCAAATAATAAAATAAATATCCACGAACAGCCCTATACTAATATAAATAAAAACAAGACTAATCTATCTAGCAAAATAATTAATCATTGAGCATTTATCGTAAAATAATTTAAACAAACAACAACAACAAAGATAATCAATATTGCTGTAACAAAATTGCAATTTAACAAATTAATGGCAACATGCTAATTTAGACTAACTTGAGGCAATTAAAAATCTAGTAGTTACATAATTACGACTATATTAATATAATATAATCAAGTAGACAACAACCTCCAACAATAATATGTACTGAACCAGCCTGCGACTAAAACTGTTCTATCTTTCTCTCTTCATCATCTCTTTCCCACTTAACTTGAACTGAGCCTAACCCAAAGAAACCAAAATCTATTACACACATCAAAGCAAGCAAGAAGCAGAAAACCTACCTCTATGGTTAGTAGTTAACTAACCCTTAAAATACACCATCATCATAATATATATTCTTGAAATAACTTATTCATTAGGACAACCTTATCTAACAATATATGTATAAATATTGCAGACAGTAGGTGATGCAGCATAGATAAGTTTGACAGTGGCAGATGTTGTGGATTACAAAGGTTTTCTCGTTGATAGGACCAAGACTAGCGGTTGGGTGATGATTCGATTCAATAAGTTAGTTCAACCCCAACCTAGCTTTGACATTGGATAGATAGATAGATATTGATAATATTTATATTACTTTTGTGTATAACAGTAGAAAGAAAGAAACTCATCACCACTTGCAATTCTCCTCTACACTTTGAAGTGGGATGAATATGCATATATAAATCTATAAATATGGTGAGACCAAACCAAAAGAAAATCACATTTCATTTTGATTGATATTTATTTTGTTGGCAACCATGATTAAGACATATATGTAGATAGCTCCAAAAAAAAAAAAATTGCTACCAATGTATCATTTGATATTAAGGTACTAGAGAAAACACTGAATAGAAATTTTGAAGATTAATTAATTTCAATAATCATATTCTTATTGAAAAAAAAATGCTACTATCTATATATTTTATGAAACCAAAAAAATTTCAACGATTGAACTGAATCTAATAGTACAAGGGTAAGAAATAGATCAATTAGACAACCAAGCAGTCAAAAGCTAGAGGGGCTATCCTAAATAGATTAATACTTCCCCTCCAGGTGTACCTAAGCATACGAGAATTTGAAATTTCCACAATCAAAACTTATCTAGACTTAAAACACACACACACACACAAAACAAGTATTAAGATATCAATGTCACAAGCAGAAAATTTTCAGTAAATAGAAATAATTTTATTCAAATGCAAAATATACCTTCACCAGAACCTTTGATTTCCCCATAACTTTGACAACTTCACCAACATAAGATCCAAGTTCCTGAAGTAATTGCAACTCTTCCTTTAATGATCTCACTGAACATCAAACACACAAAAATACACACACACGCACATATATATATTAATTAAAGTTGTGTATTTTCAAGCATGTATTTGCTATTATGCAATCCATAGTAATTTCTATTTACCTCAATAAAATAAAATAAAAATGGCGGCTATGTCTTCATCAACCTATCAGCCTTCATATTAAACTTTGAAGATCACAAGTTCCAAAAAATGATCAATCAAAGAACAACTCTGAATTTTATGTCCAAACCAAATGACAAAATAGCAAAATTCGACTATACGTCACTACTTCATAGATTGCATTCAAATACATAACAATATTAACCAAACCTACACCTTCAATTCATAATACTTTACGTTTAATCAATTGTGGTTTCTGTTCTTTCTAAAGAACACAGTAGCGTAGTTTCATGTAATGCCAAAATAAAATCAACTTCTAGTAGAAATAATATTACCACTAAAATAAAATAAAAGCATAGAATAATATTATGCATTTACAAATAACCTAATAAATGTTTATAGCAGTTGAGATCAATATATTGGGATCAATATATCAAGAGCAAAGAAAATGAAAGCTGCATACCTCACTATAAAAAAGACAGTATTTTACAGCTCTTCTCTTGTATAAAGCAATTACCTTCAGAGAGCAACCTGCAGAGTAAAAAGGATGAGCATGCAGTTGTTATTATATGAAAGAAAAACAACCTTAACACACAAAAAAAATGCCAATTTTCTGTTCATCCTTAAATGTACGAAATTACTTAGAATTTTGAGATATTGAAATGCAAGTTGAATGCATATCAGCTATAATAATTCAAACATGTTTACAATATTTATTTGTTGTCTGTAATCGATAATTTGTGGCCTTGATATAGTTTGCTGATTTGGGAAAGTACATCTAAGAGGCTTGAATGAACAACAATAGATATAACATGCAACAATAAGTGAATGAAGATCATTGCCTTAGGAAAAGGCTCGTATATGTCCTCATCAACAATGGTCTTATCATGAAAAAAAATGTAGCTCTTTTAGAGTTTGCTGCCATTGAAAAAGCACAAGAAACGAAAGACATTAGTCACTTGAAATGTAAAAGCAAATGAAAATTAAATACAAATTTGAAAGTTGTACGGTATGAATATAGGTGAGTTGTGAGATTACATTGTAACAGTAAAAGCAACAGCATAAGGCAAGCATGTTGGTGTCCCTATTGCGAGTTGACATTTATGTACCATCTATCATCTATTTTGATTCTAATTTTATTTCTAATTGGTGAAGAACTATTGAATTTTTTAACTCCTACTTTCTTACTACTACAATTATTTTGTATAGTCCCTTACTCCTAGTGTAGTAAGAATATGGAAATGGAATAAGAGCTGTCTCTCTCCCATTCCCAAGACAAGAATACAAACTTTACAATCAGTGTGTTGTCTCACATCAATAATTTATCTTACTTAATTAAATCACCCCACCAAAATAAATAAAGAAATAATTAGTATTCCTCAATTCTAGCAACTCTGTAAATACTTAGAATGCAAATCTTTTTTGCTGCTACTGAAAATGTGTTATGGCACAATGTGAGATCACCATTAACATATGCGTAAATAGTACACCGCCTAAGCAATATGGAATCGGTTTTCTCATCTGATTTTTCCTTAAGCCTCTAGATGAATGAAAACATAATCACAATCATAGTTCTTCTATGGTTATTGCAAGATACAAAGGCTGTCAAAATATGGCCAGCAACCTAACTTTGTCTCTATGAAATGCTATCTCTTTTCACAAAACATCACATTAAATATAAAAAGTTTCCAAATTTTCAAACTTCTAACAAATTCTATCTAAGATAGCCAAATCTTTGATGAATAGAATTGATTTCAATATAAGATTAAAAGCAACATATATGTAACTAACTCCTAATGGTCAAAAGAATGAATAAAAGAAAAAGGTATACATATAGAACAATATGGAATCAAACAATTTCAATGCAAATCAAAACAAAATTCATAAATGAATCAACAACCACATCAGAATCTAAGATCACCACATTCCTTCCACATCAAAAAGCATCAGACAATAAAAAATTCAGTCAAATAAACTAAAAATAAAATCACAGAAAAAGCCCCAACTACTGTAAGAAAATGAATTCGATTTTAAAGTCTCTGCAGTTCTTTCTTTACCTCTTCAAATTAAGCTGAAGCCTGGAATTAATCCACGCAAGAAGTTTATTTCTCCCCACAAAATGCGCACTATCCATCATACCAATATTCGACGCCATTATTAAGAATTTGGACCAGAAAGCTAAGTAGTACAAATGAAATTTCCCTGTATTTCCACAACATAAAAATTAAAAATTATGAAGAAAATTTAAATATTATTAGTGGTCACAGTTAAACCCAAATCCATCGCCAAACGCAAATCCAAATAAAACTTCAAAAATTAATTATTTTGCTTCATTGTCTTTTTTCCCAAATAAGGCACGAACACAAATTGAACACAAATCTAGGTTCTAAACCCCAACCCTATGGATGGACAAAACGACAAGCAGTGGTTAAGGAAAGCTTCAGGTGACATTTGTCTAAACTCACTATTTACCCATTAAATATGTGAACAAGAAGATTATCAAAAACCCATAACACTCAAAACCTAAAAATCGATTTTCATAGCTACACCATAGAATACTTAGGTTTTAACTCACCGCTCGATTTCGTGAGAACAACACCGTGCTTAGGAAGATTCACACCGTCAATAATGACGAGCTTCAAACCGGCGACGGATAGAGCAAAGGATGTCGGCTAGATCTTCCTTGCAGATCGGGAGTTGATTTTGAGAAAATGGAAATAGAAGGTGAATTTTGTATTGGGTAAAATATATGTATGTTAGGAAAGTGTTAACATATAATATGTTAGAAAAGTGTTAAAACGTTTTTAAAACTTTATTAATTTTTAATTATTTTTTAAAAATAATTTTATATAATTTTTTAAATCATTTATTTATAATTATAATACTGACTTTTTGTTACGATTTTGTATTCGGATGCGTTCACCTGTGGAAGCTATTGGGACGTGCAGTTTAGTGCTTAGTAGTGGTTTTTTTTTTATGTTGGAAAAGACTTTTTATGTTCCTAGTTTTTCCAAAAATTTAATTTCTACATCGAGACTATCATCTTTGTGTTTTTTGTTTCACTTCATGGATTCTAGTTTTGTTTTGAATTTTAAATCTAGAATCGTTAGTTGTGGTGAAATAAATGATGGTCTTTATTCAATCAAATTGCAAAACGACACTACTTTCGAATCATTGCATGTCACGGCTAGTTTAATGTATTATGAATGAGAAATCATATATGTTATGGCATCGTCGATTGGGACATAACTCAATTGAGAGAATTAGGATATTAGTGAATGAAGGGATACTTAGTACCTTAGATTATGCAGATTTCGAGACTTGTGTGAATTGCATTAAAGACAAGAAAACTAACAAGTCCAAAAAGGGTGCATAAAGGAGTTTGAATCTTTTGAAAATAATTCATACAGACATTTGTTGTCCAGACAATGATACAAGTGGTCCGAGATACTTCATCACCTTTATTGACGATTATTCACGGTACATGTATCTCTACTTACTTAATTCTAAGGATGAAGCTTTAGAAGCCTTTAAAGTTTTTAAGGTTGAAGTAGAGAAACAACGTGGAAAGCAAATCAAAATTGTCAGATCTGATAGAGGTGGTGAGTACAACGGTAGATACATAGAAAATGGACAAGCTGCCGGTCCATTTGCGAGGTTTCTTCAAGAGAATGAGATTGTTGCCCAATACACTATGCCTAGTTCTCTGGATCAGAATGGTGTTTCAAAACAAAGAAACCGAACATTAATGGACATGGTGAAGAGTATGAAGAGTAATATGAAACTTTCTCAGTTCTTGTGGACTGAAGCACTAAAGACGGCTGCGTATATATTGAACCGGGTACCAACCAAGGCTGTCTCAAGGACACCTTCTGAGTTATTCAAGGGTTGGAAGCCGAGTTTGCAGACATATGCATGTTTGGGGATGCCCGTATGAGGTGAGAATTTATAATCCACAAGAAAAGAAGCTAGATCCGAGGACTATTAGTGGGTATTTTATTGGATATGTCGTAAAGTCCAAAGAATATAGATTCTATTGTTCATCTCATAGCACTAGAATTGTGGAATCGAGAAATGCTGAATTTCTCGAGAATGACTTGATTAGCGGGAGTGATCATTTTCAAGATACTCATTCTGAAAGATATCATTATAAAGATCGACCTACTAAATCGAGTGATAGATTGATTGTGTTCGATACTCCTCAAGTTCAAACGCGTGTTAGACGATTAACTAATGAAGCTCTAAAAGTCGCTGAAAATGATCATGTAGATCGAGTTGTTAATGAAGAACATCAAGAAAATGCTGAACAACCTGATGTTGAATCAGTTGGTCAGGAAGTTCTTCATGATATTGATGAGACAACATTGAGAAGATCTACCCGAGTCAGAAAACCAACTATTTCTAATGACTTTATGGTGTATCTTTAAGAATCGGATTACAATATAAAAACCAAAAAATGATCCTGAAACGTTTTCACAAGCCATGAATTCTAAAGAATCCAATTTGTGGCACGATGCTATGAAAGACGAGATGGACTCTATGGCATCAAACAAAGTCTGGGTTCTTGTCGAGTTGCTTGATGGTGTAAAAGCCATAGGATGTAGATGGGTTTCCAAAACCAAAAGAGACTTTAATGGCAACATCGAAAGTCATAGAGCAAGACTTGTCGCCAAAGGATTCACTCAAAGGGAATGAATTGATTAAACTGACACATTTTCTCTGGTATCTAAGAAAGATTCCCTCCGTGTGGTCATGGCATTTGTAGCTCAGTTTGATTTTGAGTTACATCAGATGGACGTGAAAACAAAATTCGTAAATGGTGATCTAGAGGAAAAGGTTTATATGAAACAACCTGAAGGATTTACCTCTAGTGGTGGAGGAAATTTAGTCTGTAAGCTTAATAAATCCATATATGGATTGAAGCAAGTCTCCCGCCAATGGTATTTGAAATTTCATGATGTTATTTCTTCATTCGGCTTTGAAGAAAACGTCATGGATCACTATATATACCAGAAGGTTAGCGGGAGTCGTATTTGCTTCCTTGTATTGTACGTGGATGATATTTTGCTGGCGGCTAATGATAAAGGGATGTTATATGAGGTGGAAAAAATTCTCTCAAAGAACTTTGATATGAAAGATATGGGAAATACATCTTATGTCATTGGCATTAAGATCTATAGAGATAGAAATTGAGGCATTTTGGGCTTGTCTTAAGAAATCTATATCAAGAAAGTTCTAGAAAGATTTAATATGAAAGATTGTTCATCAAGTGTAGCTTCTATTGTGAAGGATGATATACTCGATTTGAGTCAGTGTCCGGAAAATGACTTTGAAAGAGAACGCATGAGAAATATCCCTTATGCTTCAGCCGTCGGAAGTTTTATGTATGTTCAGGTTTGCACCAGGCCTTACATATCATATGCTATTGAAGTATTAAGGAGATATCAGAGTAATCCGGGTGTTGACCACTGGATAGCTGCAAAGAAAGTGATGAGGTACCTTCAAGGTACAAAGGATTTCATGCTCATGTATAGAAAAATTGATGTCTTGAAAATGATTGGCTACTCCGATTCGGACTACGCTGGCTGCATTGACACTCGGAAATCCATATCGGGTTATGTATTCATGTTGGCTGGTGGAGCTGTCTCTTGGAGAAGTGCGAAGCAATCTATCACTGCTACTTCCAATATGGAGGCTGAGTTTGTTTCATGTTTCGAGGCTAGCTTGCATGGTGTATGGTTGAAGATTTTCATATCCGAGCTTAAAGTCGTTGACTCTATTTCTAGACCGATTAAGTTGTAGTGTGACAACTTTGTTGCGGTGTTTATGGCTAAAAACAATAAGAGTGAGAGTCGAAGTAAACACATCGACATGAAGTATTTAGCCTTAAAAGAACGTGTCAAGGAAAATAAAGTGGTCATTGAACACGTTAGTACAGAGTTAATGGTTGTTAATCCCTTGACTAAAGGCATGCTATTAAAGAATTTCAGGGATCACGTAGCAAGTATGAGACTTAATTCTACAATGTAGTTTATTTGCTAATATTGTTATTTGAGACTCTTATTTAGTTTAGTGTTTTCTCGCGTTATTGTGCACATATTTGTTTATTATTGAGAAAAATCGCTTAAGTTTAACCCAGAATAAATATAAGAATTATTCATTGAGTTGTGAATTTAGTTTGAGATGCTTGACATATCGTAATACATAAAAGGTAACATTTTTTTTATAGAAGACCTACCGCCATGATTCATATATAAAATTTCTGGTTATGTTTGTGATGGTTTGAGTGGGTCAAGTGGGAGAATGTTAGTTTAATTAATTAATTAATCATATTTAAATTTTGATTATTTTTAGATTATCTTATATAGTTAAACTAACCCTAAATTGTGGCCTACTATTCCCTATTAAGTCCATCACATTCAAAATATTCGTGAGAAGTGACAAAAAAATCGTGATGGATGGTTTTTATTTTTTAATTATAAATATTCTCACTTACGGGTTATTAAACCTACTATTAGAAATTAGAATACACCATCGTTATTTGGGAGCAAGGGTTTGACAACATTTTCCTAGTGCTCTAGGGTTTGGCAACATCTTTCTAGGGTTCCAGGGTTTGGCAACATATTCCCAGGGTTCCAACCTACTGATTACTTGAAGAAGATGATCTGAAAAACAGATATAATTTTAGCAATGGCTGGAGATTTGTTAATTATTGTATTCGTTTCCGCTAACATATTTGATTTAAGAATTATTTCTATCAGTCCTTCCATTGACCTTTTGCTCCCATAGTGCCCAAACGTTTTCTAAAACAATTTCAAGTTGATTATAAAATTAGTAGAGAAAATAGTTACAAATTAATTACTATTTTTTAAGGTATGAGTAAAAAAATTAGGATAATAAAATTTTTATTATAAATAAATTGTACATGAGAACAAACAATAAATAATTAGTATAATATAACGGACGAATACAGTATATCGTACAAATACACACAAAAAAAAAACAAAAATAGGCCCTTCTTTTATAATGAATCTTTGTCGAACTTTTCTTTTACTTTACTTTTGTTTTGGATGTGTATAAATATTTTCATTCGGGTTACAATTTGGGGTGTATTTGTTTAAGGGTTTGAGTTTGAGTTTAAATTTTAAATAGTAAAAATTGTGAATTTAAATAGTTATTTGATATTTTTAATGTAAAATTAACTTTAGAATAATAAAAAATAAAATAAATATTTTGATTTGATATTTTTTTAGAGGAAGAAATTAATAAATAGTAAGTAGCAAAAAAATCCCAAACAAGCACAGCCTCAAACATGATCAATGCAAACAAATCTTATTTATTCATTCAAAATTAATGTTGGTAATTTTAGCGTAATTGGATTTATTCGAGACCAATGAATGTTGGGATTACATGAACTTCGGGATGGGATGCGTGGAGTGCGCACTCGAAGAAACTAATTTTGACATGATTTTGACAAGTAACAAAAATTCTGAGACTGAATTTTCTTGGAATTTTAATTTCAAAATTGTGTTTATTTATGAATTGATGTGTCTAATAATTTTAAATTATGAATTCAAACTTTTGTTTGAATTGAATCAATACATCAATTTATTTTGAATTCAAATGAATATTTGAATTGAAAGAACACACCCTTTCTTTTTGAAATTGAAATTTAAATTGAACATTTGTGTTTGTTCAATTTAAATAAAAGGTTACTTATGATCTATAAATAGATGATTAGTCTCCATTTGCAGATATCAGAATTAAAAGAAAAAAAAAGGGATAATTAAAACAAGAAAACACATTCAGTGTTTTTATCTCTGCAAGAAATTATAGCCTTCATACTCATTTTATTCCTTACGTTCACCTTGTCTCGATATTTTCTGCCAGAATTCGAGATTGAACTTTGTATTATCCCAGTACGAATTTGTGTAACCCTTGGTAGGAATTGGGTCAAAATATCGTATTCGGAAAGTGAGCTCATCACGATACAAAGTTATATCCGGCCATTCCCGTTGTTAACCCATTAAAATCCCCAATATTCGAATACGATAATTTGTTAACAAACATGGCGAGCGAAACTCTGAGCGACATGTCGACCAAGTTTGGCTAGTTGACAAAGTTCGAAGGCGTCGATTTCCGTCGCTGGAAGAAGAAGATGCACTTCCTTCTCACAACTTTGAAGGTCGTGTATGTCCTGAGCACTCCAAGCCCCGAGGAAACCGAAGATGAAACTTTGGAGGCAACGCGTCGCAGGAGCAAATGGGAGAATGATGACTACATTTGTCGTGGTCATATTCTCAACGCAATGTCTGATCCATTTTTTGATATTTATCAAAATATGGGTTCAGCCAAGGAACTTTAGGAGGCACTCGAATCTAAATACATGGCTGAAGACGCTTCTAGAAAGAAATTCTTGGTCAGCGACTTCAACAACTACAAGATGGTTGATTCGAGGCCTATGATTGAGCAGTACAACGAGCTCCTTCGCATCCTTGGTCAGTTCATGCAGCACGATATGAAGATGGATGAATCCATTGTTGTTTCATGCATCATCGACAAATTGCCACCTGCATGGAAGGAATTTAAGCGAACGCTTAAACACAAGAAGGAAGAGTTGACACTAGTATAACTCGGAAGCCATCTGCGCATAGAAGAATCTATAAGAATGCAGGAAAATGATCAAAACAATGATATTGTAGGACCATATGTAAACATGGTTGATGAGCATAAAGAAAAGAATTTCACGTTCAATCATGATAAGAATTGCAAGCATTCTGAATCCAACAAAAGATCCCTGAAGAAGTCAAAATTGGCTTGTTGGATTTGTGGAAAATCCGGTCACCTCAAACGTGATTGCCGAGTTGGAAAGGGGAATCACCGTGCAAAGGAATCGACTTATTTTAATAAGTCGAATGAATTCTAATTACTGAAAATAATTAGTGAGTCTCAAGACATTGTGTAGATAGTTGATAATAATTACTGCAAGTAATTAGTATTTAATGTCTTAAAATTATTAAGACATGTTTGTATATAAATAATATATGATCGACATTGCGTAGATTGTCGAGTGTATGCGGTAACTTCAAGCATGTTAATGTTAAGTTACTTTACTTACATTCGGTTAGAATGTTTGTTTGATTTTATGGCTGAAGTTTGTGAAATAGATATTTTCAATATATGAAATTGATGCAATTGAGATTATATGAATTGAAACACTTCAAGCATCTTAATGTTAAGTTACTTTACTTACATTCGGTTAGAATGTTTGTTTGATTTTATGGCTGAAGTTTGTGAAATAGATATTTTCAATATATGAAATTGATGCAATTGAGATTATATGAATTGAAACACTTCAAGCATCTTAATGTTAAGTTACTTTACTTACATTCGGTTAGAATGTTTGTTTGATTTTATGGCTGAAGTTTGTGAAATAGATATTTTCAATATATGAAATTGATGCAATTGAGATTATATGAATTGAAACATCTGGGATTTTATACAAAATAATTTTCAAATAAGGTTATTGAGATTATTAGTAATCTGATTTCTATAACCTTACGAGTGAATTTGAAATGGATGTGAGAAATCTCCATGGATTGTTGTCGGCTACTAGATTAAGTGGCGATTACCAATATTGCCTTATATCATTAGTAGCGTTCGAAACACCAACAAGAGTACAGGTTGTCTGGCAGTAACAATCTGCACACCCATACTGCAATTGGGGAAGTTCCTCAAATTGTGTGGGGGATAAATATTAAAATATTGTTAATTATGGTTTGTCATATTTTGGTTTTCCTTCATTTTTTTAAGGATACTCGAACGCGAGTTGGATAAGCCATGCAGAAGATCCTTCTTCCAACACTGGATGGACGTTTCTGCTTGGGGGAGGTGCAATTTGTTGGGCTTCCAAGAAGCAAACGTGCATCACAAGTTCTACGATGGAATCTAAATTTGTAGCATTAGCCGCGGCTGAAAAGAAAGCTGAATGGCTTCATAACCTGGTATATGAGATTCCGTTATGGCCGAACCGGTGCCACCCATCTCTATTCGTTGTGATAGCGCCTCAACAATGTCTAAAGCTTATAGTAAAATTTATAATGGTAAGTCTCGACACATAGGTGTGAGATATAGCATGATTCGTGATTTAATCATGATGGGGTGATATCGGTTGAGTTTATTCGGTCAGAACATAATTTAGCCAACTGTTTGACATAAGGGTTGGCGAGAGACTTAGTGCACAGGTCGTCGATTGGGATGAGATTGAAGTCCATTAAATTTTCCTAGTGTGAGACACCCAATTCCCTTCTAGTATGACGCTTGAAGCTGAATTCAATGTGGAAAGCTCATATTGGAAAGATTGGAACGCATTTTATTTAAACATCCCGGGTATGCGTTCAGACCTGCAAGAACCGTAGGTTGAAATTATATCTCTTAATAACTCCTTTGAAAAATTGCTTATGCAGGAGCGAGAGTAAAGGAGCTACCTATACGAGCATGAAGTTTTGCCGCTTCAAGAAAGTTCGGACTTGCTTTCGATGTGCTCGCGAATGGATATGGACACATGGCTTGAAAAGTGTCAAGTTAGATACAAGGAAATTGTAAATTCGTGTGTACTTTGCCTACATGTATTCAGATGAGTTGAAAGGGTTCAATCCTTAGCGACACCCTGATTCTTGAAAATTTGTAACGTGTATTGTACTAATGCGAAAATTCAATCTTCGTGACATTCTCGTTTATGCATGGATTTATTGTGTATGGTTGTGATTTAATTTGTGAATAAGTCAAGGATTACACTAAAA